CATGGCTTCCCAGCAGCCCCTCGTGTGACGTCACCTGAGAAATACAGGTTTTTATCACTTCCACTCCAGGTGATTGTCACCTCCACTAGATGTCCACTCAGGGAGCAGGGACGGTCATGCTGTGACGGAGGAAGGAAAAAGATGGAAAGCCTCGGTCATACACAGCTGTGCAGGGAGTGAGCAGTCTCGGGCCACCACGGGTGGGGTGGGGCCTCCCCAGCTCCTCTCTGTCCCGGCTTTATTGAGATATAATTCACACGCCATGCAATTTGTCCATTCATAGTGTACAATTCAGTGGGTTTTTTAGAGCATTCCCAGAGTTGTGCAAACGTCACCTCATTCCGTTTTAGAGCTTTTGTCATTATCCCCAAAACACACTTTATCATTCAGGTAACACTCCAGACCCTCCCCCCTCCATCACTCCTCTTCTGACAAAAGTTTATTGAGCCCCCACTGGTCTAGACACTGCGTATACAGTGACATGAGACATGAGTCCCTTTACTTAAACAGTGTTTCTATGTGGCTTTATCTAGTACTTACATTGGTGATCCTGTGTGTTAAAGCATCCCTGGGAATTGGATGGGGGGTTATGTCACAAGTATGTCAGAACCGGTCACCTCCATCAGTCTTTCAGTGAATAGAGCACCTCGGTGTCAGAGCTTCTGTATCCAAACCCGTCACCAGGAGAACTTACACTGCTTCACAGACACACAGACATCTTAAAGTAACAGTAGGATGTGTACTCGAATGTCAGCCACTCAAGGAGGGTTTATGCCAGCAAGGACCCCGCCCTCAAGCCCTTAACTGTGTAATTTAAGATATATGTAAACAATGGCCACACACATCTTTAAATGCTGTGAGTTTAAGGTTTTACTGACCCTAACTGGTCATAAATTGGTGGTTAGAATGGATTCCACTTATCCACCCATCCATCTATCCATCCATTTATTCACTTTTCAGTTCATATTTCAAAGCATCTGTGATACATCAGGTGCTCTTCTAGAGCTGGAAGTGTGCCTTTTATTTTTATGTTATCCACCGTGCTGAGCATACAGGAGGACTCAGAAAACACATATTATTTGACATTGAAGATGCTATTTTTTTTTATGTGTTTAGCCATGAAAGGTTAGGAGCCAGAAAAGCAATTTTTAGCTTTTCTTTTTCAGATGCTCTTTTGTTGGGAAGCTTTTCAATCCCTTCAAGCAGCGTAGGAAGATAAATGAGTAAACTTTACTACACTAATTTACTCTTCAAAATTCCACATGATTTATGCCCTGTTTGGTTTAGTGCTCAAATAAGCAAAATCGCAACGTGTGGCATGATTATTTTGAGCTATAGTGAAGTCCAGATAATTTTATTCATCCTTAATCTTTTTTTTTTTTTTTAAACCAATCCATCTCCACCCTGGAGAGGATTCATACAGAGCCTGGCACGGATTCCTTAAAGATAAATGAATAAATAAAAAGGAAGACACAGAAAAATGAGGGGAGGGCACCAAACAACAACAAAACAAATAAATACTTTCATGCATTCCCATCCCCACCCCCCTTTCACACACACACACACACACACACACACACACACACACACACACACGCACGCACCTGAGAGTTTCAGACTAGTCCAGCCCACGATGGAAAGTCACTGGATGACAGTGAGCCTGGCCTTGGGCTTAGGCAGAGGGCGCTGTGGGCTCTGTGTGAAGGTGTCATCTGTACCGTCTTCCCTGATGGAAGACCCTGCTCCACAAGGAAGCACAGCGAGAAGGTTGTGGGTAAAACTCTCGCTGTCCTCTCTCAGGGTCTTTCTACTTTGTCCCTTATGTCAGTCAAAGGTGTTTTTCCCTTTGACCAAAGCAGGAGATTAATCTTTAAGTGATATGTGACACGGAGCCTTTCTGTTGTGATCAAAAACTACGGTGACTGCTGCTGCCGAGTGCCATCCAGCGGAAAGGCAGGGATCTTCAATATGGGAAGCGAAGCATCGAACCTAATTAATTCCAGTGTGTGACAAGTTGCAGCTTGTTCGGTGCAGTCAGTCGGGTGTGAGCTACGGTTGAGAGAAGGTGTGTTTTAAAATGTGCCGTAAATCACCCTCCGTCATGACAATGCGACATGTCACATCGTTTCTGGTATATGGCAATTTCTGTCACATAAAAGCATTACAGTGTCCTCATCCACCTTATTCGGTGGATCTGGCACCGTGCGACTTGTGGCTGTTCTCCAAAGTCAAAATGACCATGAAAGGTAAACATTTTTAATCAATTCAGGACATCAAGGCAGCCACAACAACACAGCTAAAGACACTCACGAAAGAGGACTTCCAGAACTGCCTCAGAAAGTGTCAAGAACAAAGGGGAGTATTTTGAGGGGGATTAATAGCAATGTGTCTTTTACTGTAATAAATTATTTTTATGTAAACATTCACCGTATTGTTTGATCACACCTTGTACATGTATATTTTCCTATTCTCTCCTTAGATGAGGGATCTCCTACGATAGGTACTGTGTTGGGCTTTACATAACTCCATGGAAATCACTGCATGTCCATTTATAGAGATTTTTGTTCTTTTTTTACAGCTGTATCATGCTTCCTTGTATGGGTTCAGCCACATATTGTTTCTAATATTTTGTAATTACGAAGCTGCAATGAATTCTGCATAGGTATTTTTGTATCGTTGGAGGTGTATCTTCTAGGAAGCGGTCTGGGTCAAAAGCTAAGTGTATATTTTATCAGGTATCGCCAAGTTTCCCTCTGAAAGGATTGTAGCAATTTTCAGCCTCACCAGAAAGCACGATTTCGCCTGTTTGCCCACAGCCTCACCAACACAATGCGTCATACTTTTCTTTCCTTTTTACTTTTGGCAAGTTTCATAAGTGAGAATAACTCAGTATAACTTGAATGTGCATTTCCCTAAGTTTGCATACTTTTGAGTACCTTTTCAGATGTCCAAGGACTATTTTTTGTGTGTGAATTGTCTGTTCATGTCTTTTTCTCATATTTCTATCATTTCGGAGTCTGTTGTAAGCTTAATTTTAGAGTTCCCCATATGTTAGAGATATTAGACATTTGCCCATAGTGTGTGTATGAATATTTTCTCCCAGTTTCTCAGTTGCCTTTTGTTTGTGATGTTTTTGTCACATTTTTTTTGTCACAAAATTTGCAAATTTTTAATAATTTCTATGTAGTCAGACTTATTACTCTTTGATTTTATTGCTTCTGGACTTTGAGCCGTCCTTAGAAAGCCTTTCCCTAAAGAGGAAATCACCCACGTTTGTGAAAATACTTTGATACATTAAGAAACATTCAGAGTGCCGGCTGAGTGGCGCGTTGGTTAGGAGTTGGCTTGGGACACCAGCTCTGAGCAGCAGGGCCCCAGTTCGGATCCCACATGAGGGCCAGTGACGCTGCACCCTCTACAGCTAAGATGGTGAACAACAGCTCGACCTGGAGCTGGGCTGCTGTGAGTCGCCAGCGACAGCGTAGGCTGCAGTGGGGCTGCCAGCAGCTACCATGAGTGTCTGGCAGCCAGCGAGCCACTGCCTCACCCGGGAAGAGCGCAATGATAACACCAACATGGGCCAGTGAAGCGACGTCCTCCACAACTAGACTGAAGAACAAAAGGACAACAACTTGTCTGTTCCCCTCCCCCAATTCCCCAATAAAATCTTTACCAAAAAAAGAAAAGACAAAAGAAAAAATAGTCGGGCTTGTTGAAGTTCACTTGCAACCTGGAAGTCGAGACACCCCCCTCCGCTCCCCTTATTCTTCTGCCCTCCTGGGCATCGGCCTCCCCAGCTGGTCCTGACATCGCTGTCATCCTTACGCGGCTCTTTATCACCCCAGCTTTAGGTCCCCCTGGTTTCTCCAGACCCAGGGCCACCTGCTAAAACTACCTGGGGCATTACAGGCTGACTGCTCACCTTCCCCGGTGCTTTTTACTCAGAAATGTATTCCGTTTGTCCTGGTAGGATTATTAAGCAAGTACTTTGGAACTTTCTGCCGATTCAAGGCGAATCAGCACATCCTTCCCGGCTTCACCTCCCTTCCCTTCTTGCCTCATCGCCTTTGTCCAAGCACCTCCAGAAATTCAGTGCCTTCCTTTCCTAAAGACCATTCAACCGTAGCCTATAGATGGAGGCGCACATGCCTCGCTGTGCCGCCTGCATAAGAAACACTGGAGCCCCGTGATGGGGCTCCCCTCACGGAGCCTGGACGTGACGTCGTCCTTCACAGGCGCAGCGCCATCCAAAATGAATACGAAACTCAGCCTTTTCTGCACATCGTAGACCGTGGTAGCTACAGAATATGCTGCAATATTTAATACGTGTAAAAGTGTTAGGGCTTTTTAAGTTTTTTCATTATGGTTTTTATTAAGATCTTTAAGGGCATAGGCAAGGTTTTGTTGGCATGGTATTTTGCATATAATAAATGAAAAATGTAAGTGATGCGTGAAAGGAAAAAAGTCTTAATCTTCCCCCCCCTCCCTCCCTCCCTCCTTCCTTCCTTCCTTCCTTCCTTTCCTCCCTCTTTCTGGAGCTGAATCTATCAACACAAGCCAAAGGATGGTATCCGTCCTTAAGGCCACTGGTTTGGGAAGGTCAGGATGACCTGGCATTGTGCTCAGAAAAATACCGATCAGCCAGGCGAGCCAAAGATGGAGACATAAGTTGTGGAGATTTACTGCTGCATAGCTTTGCATTTCAATGTTTAATTTTGACGGCTCTGGGTATGTTTTTTAAAAGCTGGTCTGTAGACTCCTCTGCATCTCTCTCCTGCTGAATGTTTAGTATTTGGGTTAAGCAGTGATGCGCCTATTTTAGCTTCACGTAAATTACATACGTCTGGAGAACTCTGGTGGCGGCTGGATGAGACGAGTATTTAATAACCCAGGCTCCTGAACCCGATGCAATGAAAGGCGGAGGGAGGGGGGTGCAGCTGGGGGATAAAACTATCGCGTCTTAACGTCTCCTTTCCCACCATGTTGCTTTTTTTCTGCAGGGACCCTCAAAGTCTCGACCCCCCGGAAGTCAGCAACGCAAAGCTTCAGTACGCAGGATGGGGCCCTAAGGGTCAGCAGCTGGTAAGCACACACAGGAGTGGCTGCGTTTGAATGGGATGATGTTTACATCTGTGTGTGTGTGTGTGTGTGTGTGTGAGAGAGAGAGAGAGAGAG